CTTGGGCTTTGGATGATTTTGTTAGTTGCTTGAAAAAAGCCTCATCCATCTCTTCCACCTGGTTAGGTGGCCTGCATGGCTGGGGAGAGGAAGGACAAGGAGACCCAAAGAGTCTTTCCCAGCTCTGATTTCTCTGCGAATCAAAGGAAGAATATCCCTACCCTCTCCTCATTTAACCCCTTCCCTTGCAGCAATGCCTGTGAGTAACTAGCTCAGCGCGGCTGCAGGGTAATCCGGGACCGTCTGTGCATCTTTACATCTGTGGAGACACAAATATACTCACATGTTGGGGAAGTGCCCTGCACACTGTGGGCAATGTCAGCAAAAGCCCAGCAGCAATGACAGTTAACAGCCATTTCTGCTCCAGGGCTTTTTGCTGTTTTCAGTCGTCCCGTTTGGGGCTTTGCGTTTTCTTTGCGACTTGACATCCAATACTCCAGCCAGGCAGAGGAAAGCTGCTTTTGGTCCCAGCTCTCCCAGTTGCCTGTGCGTGTTGGGCCTCTCTAAACTCCCATTGCCCTCCGGAAGGGTCCTGGCACCCTGGCAGCCAGGCTCACGGCTAGCCTGGGCAGGCATAGCTTCGTAACGCCAGCTGGGCATTTGGCCTGGGCTCCACAAGGACGTCGCAAGGGAATTGGGGTTATCTTGTTGTAACCCACGCAAGGAGAGAGTGGATCTTTGTCCCCCTCAAGTGGCTGGTCCACAGGAGAGATTACTGAGTCTGCGGCTACCTACCATCGGCTTTAGCTCACGTAGTGGAGGCGTGTGCTTTTGATGCTGGATGTTCCAAGTCCAGGCCCTGCTGATGGCCCAAGCAGGGTCAGTTACACAGCACAGCTTGTCAGTGAACAAATCCCGCCTTGGTCAGAACAGTGAATATGGGGAAGGAAAACCTGCAGGCCAAGTTCTGCTCTCACAGTGCAGGCCAGGCCAGGCCAGAACGAGGAGTCTTAGCGAAGGGCACTCGTAAACTGTCAGCACCAAAGAGGGAAACAGCAGGGGAAAGCAATGCTCGTTCCATGCCCTGGGTCCTCGGCCCCTCGCTAAAGGAATCCATGGGCTGCATGTTGCCATGATCGCTCCCCTGGGGGGTGATAGCACCATCAGCTGCTCAGAGAGGCTGCAGGTGCAAGGCCAGGAACTCTTTGTAAACATTTCCCTTTCCTGGCTCCTGCCCTACAAGTTAACGGTCCCTCCACGCTGTTTCACTGTAAGTAGCCCCTATCTTTAAGCTCCTGTAACCCTAGAATATCAGGGTTGGAGGGACCTCAGGAGGTCATTTAGTCCAACCCGCTGCTCAAAGCAGGACCCCTCCCCAGACAGATTTTTGCCCCAGATCCCTAAATGGCCCCCTGAAGGATTGAACTCACAACCCTGGGTTTAGCACGCCAAGGCTCAAACCACTGAGCTATCCCTCCCCTCATGTGCAGTCACTCTCTGGCTCCCTGTCACAGCCTCAGAAGCTTTTCCCGACTTCTACCCCTTAATCATCTGTCCAGAATGAGCAGGGCAGGGCAGAATCCCACAGAGGCAGAGCAGGATTGGGAATCGCTGCCCAGGCCTCTCACCGGGGTGCGGCTGCCTAGGTAACGGGTCAGTTTGAAAGAGCATAAGGTTTAACTGAGTCTGACTCCAGCTTAAAGGGGTCATTTCCAGCTGGGCTCAGATTCTTCTCCTCAGGGGAACTCGGGGTAGAGGGTCGCACAGCTGAGACACTTAACATCTCTCTCCTGTTGATTCCAGCGGTGGCCATTTTAACCCAGCTGTCTCCTTGGCCGCGTGGCTGATTGGCGGGCTGAACATCATGCTGCTCATCCCTTACTGGATCTCCCAGCTGTGTGGGGGGCTGATCGGAGCTGGCCTGGCAAAGGTATGGAAATCAGGTGACTCTTCCTTGCTAAGAAGATTAAAGGGTTAATTTCCTGGGGTCTTGGGCTCCCCTCCATGCAGACATGTGAATCTCAGCAGTGGGTACGGGCCCCTCAAAGGCAGGATATGATTCTCAGTGCGGTTTGCGCTGTGTCAGAGAACAGTTTGTCATGCACCATTGGGCACATGCTGGAAGCCAGCACCCAGCAGCTGCAGGGGAGATTATA